AAAAAAAAAAAAAAAAAAAAAAAAAAAAGAAAAAATAATAATAAAAAATAAAAAAGAAGAAGTATCCCGATAAGAAGGTACTGGAATTTTAACCAGTTATCCTTCCTATGCGTTAGATAAATCTGAGTAAATTGTTTATGTGGTTTTCGAACAGAACAAATGTTCTCCTCGAGAATCACTCGCGGTTAACTACGACGAGTCCCGTGGATGTCGTTAGAAAAATTACGCGGATACGTGTGCGTCCGCCCGGGATGGAGCTTTGAGACATCGTCCTTGTTCCTTTATTATAAAATCATCGATTGTGTAATTGATTGAGTGGATAAGACGATGTTCTCAATAAACGTGAAGAGAATCCAGGGCCGCCAATTCGGTGAAGGATTTTCGAGGAAAGGTCTTCGTCGAAAATCTTCATGAACAGTCTCCTTGAACCGACAAGAATTCTGTACAATTACAGAATAAATTCAACGAGGTTGTGACCAAGAAACAACATATGGGATCAGCTTAGATTGCAGTTTATAATACTTAACTTTAATACCTTAATCGTAGGAACGCGGGTCTCGCGTCTTTTTAAAAAAAAAAGAATAAAACAAGTTTTCGAATCCGTGTGACAGCGGCGATGGCGAAAAACTTAATATTTAATTGCGACAGCGAAATCGAAAGGTGTTCGCATTGCTGATCAGGAAGAAAAAAAGAAAAAAAAAAAAGGCATATGCATGTACACATTTATATTACGACCACGAAATATAAGCGATTGTGATATCCGTGCATATGAAAATACAATTTGCCAGGATCGTAGATTAAGAAAATAAATTATGGGACTTTTTTATGCCAGTTAGTAAGGGATCGAGTTTGAATGGTTTTTCAATCAACGGATGATGATAAAAAGATAGAGACTTGATACTTTTTCGTGTTGTAACGAATGCACGCGCATTGGGATTACATATGGATGTATATGTTTCGAATGTTAGGAAGACCATAGTTGGTTGGCATACGAAGCGCACGCTGTCTACAGAACACATAATATTTAAGCTCTCGCGTATATTTTTCTCATTTTTTTATATGATACCTTGAAATTGCATTCCCTTTTTAATATTCACGCACATTCTACAAAAATGTAACAAGGAGTGAATTTTTTTTGTGTGAAAAAATATAGATTTTTTTTTTTTTTTTATATTAAGAATTCTCATGTCTTTTCTTGGTTTGATCAATGGCTCAATTTCAATCATTGCAATTTCAAGGTAATCGTTAACATGAACAAAATAAAAAACAAATCTGCGCGAAGTTTTTTAATTTTTTCAAAAACTATAGTAAACAAAGTCTAATGGTAAATATATCATATTCAGATATTCTTTTGCACACCCATTGTTACTCACCTTGTAGATTTTCAGACACAGACCTCTTTAGCATCCCGGGACGTTGATCGCTATACCCACGATTAATAATTGAAATATTACACATAAGAAAACAATGATAACGACGCTAGTATTAAATTTATACATACTTATTGGACGTGTCAACTCCCAAGCACTTTTGACGATCTTCTATTTCCGTGTTTTACACTGTGTTCATCGTCGCTGATTGGTGCCTAAAATCGTTACGTTTGTTGTCAGTGTACAATGATAACGAAATCTCATTTTCGAAAATAGAAGAAACGAGAGAGACGTAGATTTAAAGAGTTAAGATGTTGCGAGGGATGTGACACCTCCGTATAACATAAATATACATATAAACTACACGTATGTAAGTAACTTTTAGAGTATTTGAGTAAAAAAAGGCATACATAGTTGATAGCGTTTTATTAAATGTTGTGAAAAAGTCTCTTGTCTGTCGTGTAATGTGTTGTCTTATTATGTGTGCGTCTTTTTGTTCTTTGTTATTTCGTCCTTTTATATTCATGATACCATCCTTCAATTCCTTCATTTGTTACGTTGGAAATAGTTGGCAAAAACTCATGTTTTATGTGATTCTTTTCTATGTATTGTACCTTAATCCGTATTACGATCCTGTCATATAAGTCATGTTAATTGCATAAGATATCCGGTAATATTCACATAACGTTATGCAAAAATATTCTTTCTACATTTAATATACTTGTTCTTATTTATTGCGATAATATGCGATTAAAAGACACTAACGTGTATTTATTATTATTCATATGAACGAGGTGAGAAGTCTTACGAAATATTAGAAATTAGTATTATAGTAATCTAAATATCTACATAAATTTTAATACGTTTTTATAACGAAAATTTAAATAACCCGCTAAATAATTCAAATTATGTATCTGAAATTGTAGATGCGCGCGCACGCTTAGTTTCAATATGGCGTCCATAGCGGGAATCCTGTACGTGTCGCGGTGGTGTTTTTTCTCATTATTTTTCGAAATATAAATCATATTCGAAAGCGCGAATACACAAACGATCAGTTTTTAAAACGGTAATTCATGTGATGTTCTACGTGGCAAACTAATTTGATTCTAAATGACTCGTTTCTTCTTCCTGTTCGTATGTCGCGAGGAGTGGGGACGACGCGATGGAAGGGAAAGCACTAGTAGTTCTTGAGTTGAGTGCCTCTGGAAGTAAGCGCTTGCCCGTGAGCCTGTACGGTAGTTCGATTGGTGCGGTGAATTTATTATTCGACTTTTTTTCTTCTTGTTCGATCGTTGAAACGCGAAAATAAGAGATCGAGTTAGATTCGATGTGTGGTGCGAGATTCGTGTTCATGGCGTAGTTCAAAAATTCGCGACGCTTTCGTGAGAACAGTTAACACGACGGCGTGCTAGTGTCGTTGACGTTTCGTGTGTCAGTGTCCTCTCTCTTTGTTTCTCTCTCTTACGCTTGCCCTTTCTCGATTCGGTCTTTTTCTATCTCGTCCCTTCTATATACGTTAACCATTGTATCACAAGTCGCGTCGTTGCTGCAATGTCAGATGACAGGTGTGAGGCGCTATCATTAGTGTATATTAACGAGTCCTTCGAGTGTCCTGCGAATTTAGGATATGCTGCAGAATGACGAGTGCAAGGTTGTTCTACCGGAAGGGCGGCGAAGAGGACCGAAGACGACGACCACGACGACGATCTCGAATTCCCTCGCGCTAGCGGTGGGCTATGAGCGCTGACAATGGGGACGACTCCTTGGTAATTATCATACCTTTCTCTTTTTTATTACTCCCTCCTGTTTTGTCTCTCTGTCTGTTTCGTGTTTGTATTGCGGACAGTGAAATATGCAGGTTGACAGAGCGCGGTTTTGTCGTGCGGAAATAATCGTGGATTTGAAAGCTCGTTCTTTCTCTTTCTTATTTCTTCTCTCTCGTTTAACGTAACGCGGTCACGAAGGAAATATTCCTATTGGCGGGAATATTCTTAAGAGAACATATGTATTTCACTTTCGTGTCAATGATAAAACGTTTTGATCGCGTATTAAAAAAATTATAAAACATTTGAGAGAAGGAACATTCCTTATCGTAATTTTTTTTACGTAATCAATGAAACAGGAAATAAAATGTTTAAATAACAATCATGAAATTGCACGATTGCGTCGTCGGCGTGAATCGATTTCGATTCACTTTATACGTAACGAGTTTCAATCTTTTGACAATTATTAATTATGCTGACTAATCGGCTCGCGTGAGATTTTAAACACGAAACATTCGATAGTTTCGAAGAATGAATTTAATAAGTTTAGCAAATATTTATCATAATTTAATCTTATATGAGAGTTACGTTATTACCAGTAATTTTCATCGTGATGAAATACGAGTTTCAAAGCAATTAAAAAAAGGACTCGTAGATCATAGATCTTTATTACATCGTTTAACGTTAATTGCTAATAACTTGGATGCTGTCACGTGTTTCTGGACCACGTGATCCGAATGGACAGTCTCATCTGTACCGAGTAAAAGTAATTTCTTGCGGTTAGCGTTACTTCTTGCTCGATGGTCATAGTTGTGAAATCCGCTTTACGTTTCGTAAGCTCGGTTAGCCACGGGACAAAATGGGACGAGTGTAGAATATGATTTTCGATCGGAACATCGTCTAAAACGAGTTCTCTACATTCCGTAAGAATCGTTTTTGATATCACACGTATCTCCCTTGTTTTTCTTTCTCTTATTATGATTTTATTCGAGGATCTTGTCCAAAGATAATCTCTTGTTCGGATTTCGTTGACCTTTGTTCTCCTGTCTCGTGGACGCAATCGTAATGCAACGAATAGCTTGTACTTGGATGGAACACGTTCAATAACTCGAGAGTCAATGAAACTCGCGCACGCCTCGCGCACGCGAAGGTATGCTTACTATCGAGGGATGTCGTTCTGTTTATGTTAGAAATTATTCGGTCGACCATATCGCTCTCGTATATTACGCATATGCTCTTTGCTTCATAACTCCAGTTCGAAATTGATTTTAGGCCATTTATTTTTATCATTGTTGTTATTATTTCTATCGCTATTGTTACTATATTCGACGATTATAGCCTTGCTTGTGCTATGAAGAAATTAGATTCAAAACATTAGTTATTCTCTTCGGTTGAACACTCCACGAGTGTTGTCTTCTGCAAAGTTTCCTTCTCGATTAAAAATTCCACGATCGCGTTAATCCTTTACTTTAGTTCTTGGTCGATGAGAAAGGCAGGACGGTATAACGCTTATGAGAATGCAAAGTAATACGTGTCAAGTCTAACGAGGCGCGTCGCGGAATGCAGGAGGCGAGAAAGAAGTACGGGTTTTGCGAATGTACAACTTTTTCATAGATACAAGGTGTTCTACAAAATATTCATAACTTGATTGTTTAAAAACCGATTTTTCTGCAAAAAATTAATCCATGACATACTGAACTAAATTTAACCCATTAAATCTTGAATAACAAACACAGAAAATCTCGAGTGAAAATTTTTACAATAATTTATATAATATATATATATATATGTAAAATTTTACAATATAGAGATCTATTTCGTCTATTAATTCTCTTGTATCTAGAATAATCGTATGATTATGTTTGAAATTAGAGACATATTAGAAAATTAAATAAAATTTTCAAAAATATCGAAATATCGTAGAAAATACAAGATATATATCCTTAAGACTTTGAACAAAAATGTATACGTTTAACGTTCTTGCAAGTGATCGTAATAGAAAAAAAAAAAAAAAAAACGAAGAGAAAGTTACGTTAGTTTTTATACGCAATATGGAGTCTCGAGTCGGTTTCTCGCGAAACGAAGATACTTTCGATCGACATTTTAGAGCACCCTGTATACCACTTTGATTTCCGTCTTGGGTCACGCTTTCATCGAAAAGGAAAGGGAACACGTTCAAGCTATTCTGTGACGATTTTGTAACGATATATACATGTATATATATATATACATATATATATATGTAAAATCCGAATATTCTCCCGATATACTATATATGTGATCGAAGATAGGGATTCACAATAGTGTCTATCTCGTGGTTGAAAATTGCTCCATTGTTGGCAAGAGATATAGGTTCGAGACACTCCTTCGGGAAATACATCTTCGGCCAGATGTTGGAGAATGAACGAGGACTTTGTGCAAGAAACTCGAACGATAAACGAGTCGATCTGGAGCGTTCAGTAGTAGATGGTAGACGTACCAATGCCACGGGTACTGTTACTTCTAGTTATTCGACCCAAGGTGAAAATCTATATTATAGATATTTAAAATGATAAAACTGGATAGGGGAGGTCTTCTAATTTTCTAAGATCCTTCGTACTCTTCGTTTTCAAATTAAATCGTAAGATTATTTAAAAGTAATCGAATCGAATTAGGCAGTACATAGATAAGGTATTGGTTAAAAAAAAAAAAAAAAAAATAGGGTGAGAAAGGAGAATAGTCATCGCATCAAAAAAAAAACTAAAATTTATTTCATCCACGTATCGATTTCACGATTAATCTATTAAACTGTTAATCGAGGAAGATGAGTTAACTCGTTATCTCCAACTTCCCAATGAATCCTTGAACTTAATTAATTGTTTATCCAGTGATCCTCTTCTTTGATCCATCAATGCATTTGTAACAGATATATCACAATACTTGCACATTACATTCATTCGAAAATAATTCGATTGAAATAAATTCATACAACTTCAATAAGTATAATCTGATTACACGAAGGATATATTCTATTCTATTCAAATAATCAATTCTTGTTTGATATCACACGTAATCTCTCCTCCGCCCAAAGGAGAGAAACGGTCGCAACGTAATTTGCAATACATTAAACGTTCTCACTCTCGATCGATTGTAATTAATCGCAGGATTCACGGGTATCGGTTCAGTAGGCCGATCCTGTTCTCTTTCCCATATCGATGTGTCATACGAGAGATGGATTCTCGCGTATCGATTTCACGTTGAAGAAAAATACGCGACCGCCACGAGCACGCACCGTCTCCACCGGTCCACGTTACTTTCACGTTTCCGTTCGGTCGCCGTCGACGAACATCGGAGATCATCGCGGGAAACCCAGACAGAGAAGGATAGAAAGGAAAGCGACGCGGTCGGGAGAGAGAGAGAGAGAGAGAAGGGGGGGAGGGGGCGAGGGAGAGATGGATTCTTCTCGTTTTGTACTGAATTCTGAATGGACATCCGCCTTTCTCACGATCGAACCACGCTCTCGTGAGAAGATTGATTCGTGCGAAGCGCGTGCTGAAGAATTGGAGCATTGGAGCGGCGTATCCACACGCGTATTTTTTTACATCTCGTACATTCGCGTACGTACGTCTGCTTCGTTTGTGTCAATATTGAAACAGACGCGATGTTTAGACAGGGGAGGGAGGGGGAAGGGAGAACAATTAGACGTGAATGAATATGAAAAAAAAAAATGATTATTTTATGAAGGATTTACAAGAGTTTGGAGGAGCGAGTGTATTAGTGAGAGTACAAATTTTTTCATCTTTCAAACTTTTTTTAAAAATTCAATGGAACGAAACTATGAGATCGGAGAGGTTTGATACTGAGGAATGCATCGTGGAAATTGATAAATATCATTTTTAACGAGAATGCAGATCTCGACAATTCTTTTGTAACCGCCGTAATTCTTGGAAACTATACCTCGTACGAGATATTGGATATTAGATCCACTTAAAATCGTTTAACGCGATTTTCCATTTCAACGGAAGGAGTTATATACGAGTTCAAACGAGACGAAGGTTATTATGTTTAAGCCATATGTTGAATTACGAGATTATACGTTAGCAAAATAATTTTTCTTTTTTTCTTTGTTGCATTGTATTTACGCGCACCGTAGAATTATAGAAGCGTGGAATATAGAAGGTTTATAAGGGAGGATCGAATCGTGGTAGAAATTGCGTCGACCATTAAGGAAGAAAAGGAATATTAAATCTGCTCCTTGCTCCTTCCTTTCTGTTCTTATCGAATGGTTTCGAGATAATACAAAAGATATAAAAGCTGGATAGGAGAACAGATTCTCGATGAGGAGAAAAAAAGAGAAATAAAAAATACAAGTCTCGGTTTAGGTTTAAGAGGCTTGAAACCGCAAAAAGGCCAGATCTGCAGACGTTAATCATAGAAGCGTCTCGTGGTTGAGCTGTTTCTTATTCGAGTTGTGAAATTGGTATCGGCTACGAAAATCAAACATTTGTACAAGTGGCAGGAATATATTTGATCATAGCGATTAAAATATTGTCGATTTTACAGAACTTGATAAATTGGAGAAATGTTACTTCCTAATGCGATAAAAAATTATTATCGCTATTTCAGGGAAAAGTTAATAGCGAATATATGCAAATAACTTTCTCTTTCTATATATATTCTCTCTATATCTTGAATTAACTTTTAATTGTTTCATCATATAGTATGGCAGTGTATTAAATTATTCCAGATGTTATAAACATGTTCTCTATAATCGGTTAAATGTTTTATTGAAGTCGAAAATTCCGCTAATTTTATTATATTACGTTAGTAAAGAGCGATTTAATCTTAGAAATATAAATTGTAAATATAGAAAGATTAGCTTTCGAGCTTTCGAACATCTCGTTCGTCGCGAATAAAATTATTATCGATTAATTTTTATCGCCTCAAATCGAATTCAAATCGAAATTCAACAGACGTCACATCGATTTGATGAACTGTCTAACTCTTTCGACCTCGATTCGATC